TGCGATTGACTGCGTGCAGCGAACGTATGGTCTATGTGCATAAGTTCCAGCTCCTCCTGCGCAGCAGCTGCTGCTGCTACGAATACAAATAAGAAGGGCCAAAGATCCGGCGCAGCAATTATTTGTGTTCGCATCGGCTTGATCAGAGATCAGAGAGAACAGTAAAGAGCTGAGTGTTGAGTCGCATTATTTATGCAAGAGAGAAAATTCGAATGATACGCAAGAGAGAAAATGAATCCGTCGATTGATATCATGCAAGAGAGAAATATATTGCCGCATGATTCCAGAAGATGTTCGAGATTGATGATTCGAACGCTGCAGCAAAAGAGCAAGCCATCAAGGTTCACAAAATTTCCAGAAAGATGAAGGCCAAATAGGCATAGCTGCGAAGCAACTATCAGATTGATATTAACAAGTATCTTCCGATGAATTCTCCTGTTTTCTTCCTTTTCTTCAATACCTTTTCATCTTAGTGTGCTTTTGGAAACGTATTTTCTTTGCAAGAAGAAAGTGGGAAGTAGATCTGGTTCCAAATAGATGCAGGGGACAAAAATTTCTGCAAACAAAGTCGAAGAGGTGAGGGCAGCAGTTTTTTCAGATTCATTTATACAGTAGTCGTCTCTTCAGATTGACAGTAGTTTTTTCAGCAGATAGTACTGCCGACTTCCTCCTCAGTACTCATGTTGTGTCTACAGTGACGTCGCCAGCGCGCAACCATAAGACGATACAGATGCAACTTTCACCGCCCCTGTTCTAAAAACTTTCCAACTGATGACCGTAGAGACAAGTTCTGAAAGTACTTCTAGGACACAGATTCACCTGAAGACAGATTCTCAACAACATCTCTACGAATGTTCAGGATTATGATTCCATGGGATCTTCTTGCCATCGAGCATCTTCTTGTACTTAGACATCACAAAATTTCAACAGTCAAGATGTTGAACCTTGTTCTCAACTTCTCCAGATGAATCTGATTTTTCTGAAAGGCGACGCAGTTGTTCTTGTTTCCAAGGCCAATTCTGCCCCTATTCACTGCAAGCCATGACGTGGCTATCATGATACGAAACAAAAACCGTGAGAAGAATTTTTATGATGTGGGATTCGACGCATCATCTTGTTCTTTCAGGACGATACTGATAGCACTGCTCATGGCACTGTTCATGATCTACGTTGGGAATCGATAAGCTAAACAACCTTTGACAAAATTGATGAAAGCCTGCACAGTGAATTATAGGCTCGTAGAATGAAAAACGGGTTGATCAATCGTGCTAATGAAGAGAATACGTTCGGTTTGAAGTTAGTAGATGATCATAAATCAGTGGACGAAGAGATCTCCCTCTTGCTTCAACATGAATGATTTTCAGAAGGCATTTTACGAGCTACTTCTGGAAATACTACGTCTTTGTTGCGCGGAGGGACCGTATGCATCCATACAAACAATTAACTTTTTTGCATCAGTAAAAACAAAATCAATGTCATACATATATTATCTTGCATCATCAGTATCTTCGATGTAGACCGTCCCCGTTCTTTTGTCAAGCATGATTTTCGACGTTTCTTCGTTGTCCATGATAACTATATCATTCCCAGCTTCGATCCACCGAGAAGCCAGGAATTACAATGAATTACTGAAAGCGACTCTGTAATAGTGTACGTCGTTACTTCTAACGCAGTGGAAGTCTCTAGAAACTAGGAAGCTTCCGGAAGCGTTTCACTGGCTCTCCCGTCTGTTTTTACTCCGGAACGGATTGAAGCAGCACAGTGAATTTAGGGAACCCTCCATCTGCGAGAGTAAACCTGAAAAGATTTTTCGTTTGATGTTTTTGCTCCAGTAATGGACGTATGTCCACCGAAAGTGAGAAACGAAAAAAAATATTGGAACAGAAAAGTCGCAAATGAATAATGTTGGAACAATGAAGTGGATGTCGAACAATGAAGTGGATGTCGAACAATGAAGTGGATGTACCTCCTGCTCAACAACACGACGATGACTTGGCATCGGACTTTTCTGCAGCATTGGCACCGGACTTTTCTGCAGCCTTGGCACCGATCTTTTCTGCAGCCTTGGCACCGGACCTTTCTGCAGTATTGGCATCGGACTTTTCTGCAGTATTGGCATCGAACCTTTCTGCAGCCTTGGAAGGGCAGCATGACCCGATCAAAGCATCCGGATGTGCAGTGATCGTCACCATTTGGTTCGTCAGAGCAAACATCCTCTCCTCATGCTTTTTCCTCTCGTTCTCGTCATTTGATTCCGCCATAGCCAGCACCGGCCCCAGCTTCTCGATTTCCGCCACAACATGACCTTGTACCAATTTATTCACTACTGCGGGCTGCTGCTCCCATTCTTGCGATTCCTTCGTGTGAGCATTGCGCCATTTCCAAACTTCCATCAGGGAGATGGTCTTCCCCTTGACGTCTGCCGCGCCACACGCCTTCTTCAGTGTGAAGTCCGGAAAGTCCGCGCACTGCAAGGTACCCAGTCCCGCCTCTGCTTCAAGGAAGGAGGCCTTGTTACTGCCTCGCAGACTCCCGCGTTTGTTAGCCACTACGACTGATGTTACAACAGCCCCCAACTTTAGAGAAGTAGACGAAAGCACCATCTTCGTTTCGGTTTCAGTGTACTTGGAAATAAAAGTTTCTTTTTGTCTACCTGATTTACGAAAGCGCCTATGTAAATCACAGTGATTGTGAAAAGGGAAGTCACAGTTCTGAGAACGGCGGGCAAACCTATAGAGTTAGAGAATATCTCTTAAAGACTATCGAATTCACTAAATGAAAAACCTGTAGTCGTCTACGGGAGAACTCTGTCTTCTTGTCACACGTACTGCTCATACTAATGGCTAGCTAGTATTTTTTCACAAGGGTTTACTCCAGTGGTCTGGCCAAGGTCTATTCAAGTGGTCTGGCCAGGGTTTACTCAAGCGGGACGACGCGGGTTTTGTTAGAGGAAGAGAACGTAAAGGCGCAAACCGAAGTCCACAGCATGTGAATACAGCAGCACACAGATAGTCCGTCACACGAACTGGAAGAAGTTACCAACATATAGTCACACGAACTGGAAGAAGCTACCGACGACGACTATCACTATTGATGACCGAAGATACAGCACTATGATTATCACTTTTAACCGATGGCAGCGATGCTGCGATCTTCTATGATCAAACAATCATGTTTCTTCGCCTCAATGCCATTGGGGATCATACAGATCAATAACGTGGCTGGTTCCTATCCTGCAGATCTAGGACGAAAATTCTGCACTCGGTCATTTATCGAGGAGTTTTTTGGGTCGGACACACGCTTGAATCACAGTGCAAATGATCACTCTTATCAAAGATGATTTTTCGTGGACCGCAGTAGGGTCGATGTCTTCATCTTGGATTCTTCCCTTGACGTTTTGTCCCCAGTTACAAGTTGTCAGAAATGAAGCAGCCATATGCATACAACTCAGTTATGTTGATCCATAATGCATGTGGAGTCAGTTGTGAGTCGCTTTTTCGCTTTCTTAAAACTTCTCTTCAGTACGAGTTGAGTAGTGGTCGGCGCTACGGCTGTATTTAGATTACGAGCTGTATTATGTAGAGCAAATTTTCTTCATGTTGGTAAAATATTGTGCTACCAAGAAAAATGCGAAATGTTCATGATCATGTTGATGATGTACACAGTCGGATGGCGTTGATATGTTTTTACGAATATTATTTGATTGTCGGTCCTCGGTATCAATGTTGGAAATAAATGTCATACAAATATCATCTTGCATCATCAGTATCTTCGGTCTAGACCGTCCCCGTTCTTTTGTCAAGCATGATTTTCGACGTTTCTTCGTTGTCAATGATAACTATATCTTTCCCAGCTTCGATCCACCGAGAAGCCAGGAATTACAATGAATCACTGGAAGCGACTCTCTAATAGTGTACGTCGTTACTTCTAACGCAGTGGAAGTCTGTAGAAACTAGGAAGCTTCCGGAAGCGTTTCACTGGCTCTCCCGTCTGTTTTTACGCCGGAACAGATTGAAGCAGCACAGTGAATTTAAGGGGCCCTCCATCTGCGAGAGTAAACCTGAAAAGATTTTTCGTTTGATGTTTTTGTTCCAGTAATGGACGTATGTCCAAAGAAAGTGAGAAACGAAAAAAAAATATTGGAACAGAAAAGTCGCAAATGAATAATATTGGAACAATGAAGTGGATGTCGAACAATGCAGTGGATGTCAAACAATGAAATGAATGTACCTCCTGCTCAACAACACGAGGAAGGGCAGCATGACCCGATCAAAGCATCCGGATGCGCAGAGATCGTCAGCACTTGACCCATCATGGCCTCCATCCTCTGCTGATGCTTGTCCCTCTCGTTCTCGTCATTTGATTCCGCCTTAGGCTGCACCTGCACCGTCTCCATCTCCGCAGTGAGCCCTGGTTCCAATTTTCTCACTTCGGGCTGCTTCGCCCATTCGTTCATTTCCTTCTTGTGTTCTTTGCCCCATTTCAGGACTTCCTTCAGGGAGATGGTCTTCCCCTTGACGTCTGCCGCGCCACACGCCTTCTTCAGTGTGAAGTCCGGAAAGTCCGCGCACTGCACGGTGCCCAGTCCCGCCTCCGCTTCAAGGACGGAGGCATTGTCACTGCCTCGCAGAAACCCGCGTTTGTTGGCCACTACGACTGATGTTACAATAGCCCCCAACTTCAGAGAAGTAGACGAAAGCACCATCTTCGTTGCTGTTTCAGTGCACTTGGCAATAAAAGTTTTTTTTTGTCTACCTGATTTACGAAAGCGCCTATGCAAATCACAGTGATTGTGAAAGGGGAAGTCACAGTTCTGAGAACAGCGGACAAATCTATAGAGTTAGAGAATACCTCTTAAAGACTATCGAATTCACTAAATGAAAAACCTGTAGTCGTCTACGGGAGAACTCTGTCTTCTTGTCACACGTACTGCTCATACTAATGGCTAGCTAGTATTTTTTCACAAGGGTTTACTCCAGTGGTCTGGCCAAGGTCTATTCAAGTGGTCTGGCCAGGGTTTACTCAAGCGGGACGACGCGGGTTTTGTTAGAGGAAGAGAACGTAAAGGCGCAAACCGAAGTCCACAGCATGTGAATACAGCAGCACACAGATAGTCCGTCACACGAACTGGAAGAAGTTACCAACATATAGTCACACGAACTGGAAGAAGCTACCGACGACGACTATCACTATTGATGACCGAAGATACAGCACTATGATTATCACTTTTAACCGATGGCAGCGATGCTGCGATCTTCTATGATCAAACAATCATGTTTCTTCGCCTCAATGCCATTGGGGATCATACAGATCAATAACGTGGCTGGTTCCTATCCTGCAGATCTAGGACGAAAATTCTGCACTCGGTCATTTATCGAGGAGTTTTTTGGGTCGGACACACGCTTGAATCACAGTGCAAATGATCACTCTTATCAAAGATGATTTTTCGTGGACCGCAGTAGGGTCGATGTCTTCATCTTGGATTCTTCCCTTGACGTTTTGTCCCCAGTTACAAGTTGTCAGAAATGAAGCAGCCATATGCATACAACTCAGTTATGTTGATCCATAATGCATGTGGAGTCAGTTGTGAGTCGCTTTTTCGCTTTCTTAAAACTTCTCTTCAGTACGAGTTGAGTAGTGGTCGGCGCTACGGCTGTATTTAGATTACGAGCTGTATTATGTAGAGCAAATTTTCTTCATGTTGGTAAAATATTGTGCTACCAAGAAAAATGCGAAATGTTCATGATCATGTTGATGATGTACACAGTCGGATGGCGTTGATATGTTTTTACGAATATTATTTGATTGTCGGTCCTCGGTATCAATGTTGGAAATAAATGTCATACAAATATCATCTTGCATCATCAGTATCTTCGGTCTAGACCGTCCCCGTTCTTTTGTCAAGCATGATTTTCGACGTTTCTTCGTTGTCAATGATAACTATATCTTTCCCAGCTTCGATCCACCGAGAAGCCAGGAATTACAATGAATCACTGGAAGCGACTCTCTAATAGTGTACGTCGTTACTTCTAACGCAGTGGAAGTCTGTAGAAACTAGGAAGCTTCCGGAAGCGTTTCACTGGCTCTCCCGTCTGTTTTTACGCCGGAACAGATTGAAGCAGCACAGTGAATTTAAGGGGCCCTCCATCTGCGAGAGTAAACCTGAAAAGATTTTTCGTTTGATGTTTTTGTTCCAGTAATGGACGTATGTCCAAAGAAAGTGAGAAACGAAAAAAAAATATTGGAACAGAAAAGTCGCAAATGAATAATATTGGAACAATGAAGTGGATGTCGAACAATGCAGTGGATGTCAAACAATGAAATGAATGTACCTCCTGCTCAACAACACGAGGAAGGGCAGCATGACCCGATCAAAGCATCCGGATGCGCAGAGATCGTCAGCACTTGACCCATCATGGCCTCCATCCTCTGCTGATGCTTGTCCCTCTCGTTCTCGTCATTTGATTCCGCCTTAGGCTGCACCTGCACCGTCTCCATCTCCGCAGTGAGCCCTGGTTCCAATTTTCTCACTTCGGGCTGCTTCGCCCATTCGTTCATTTCCTTCTTGTGTTCTTTGCCCCATTTCAGGACTTCCTTCAGGGAGATGGTCTTCCCCTTGACGTCTGCCGCGCCACACGCCTTCTTCAGTGTGAAGTCCGGAAAGTCCGCGCACTGCACGGTGCCCAGTCCCGCCTCCGCTTCAAGGACGGAGGCATTGTCACTGCCTCGCAGAAACCCGCGTTTGTTGGCCACTACGACTGATGTTACAATAGCCCCCAACTTCAGAGAAGTAGACGAAAGCACCATCTTCGTTGCTGTTTCAGTGCACTTGGCAATAAAAGTTTTTTTTTGTCTACCTGATTTACGAAAGCGCCTATGCAAATCACAGTGATTGTGAAAGGGGAAGTCACAGTTCTGAGAACAGCGGACAAATCTATAGAGTTAGAGAATACCTCTTAAAGACTATCGAATTCACTAAATGAAAAACCTGTAGTCGTCTACGGGAGAACTCTGTCTTCTTGTCACACGTACTGCTCATACTAATGGCTAGCTAGTATTTTTTCACAAGGGTTTACTCCAGTGGTCTGGCCAAGGTCTATTCAAGTGGTCTGGCCAGGGTTTACTCAAGCGGGACGACGCGGGTTTTGTTAGAGGAAGAGAACGTAAAGGCGCAAACCGAAGTCCACAGCATGTGAATACAGCAGCACACAGATAGTCCGTCACACGAACTGGAAGAAGTTACCAACATATAGTCACACGAACTGGAAGAAGCTACCGACGACGACTATCACTATTGATGACCGAAGATACAGCACTATGATTATCACTTTTAACCGATGGCAGCGATGCTGCGATCTTCTATGATCAAACAATCATGTTTCTTCGCCTCAATGCCATTGGGGATCATACAGATCAATAACGTGGCTGGTTCCTATCCTGCAGATCTAGGACGAAAATTCTGCACTCGGTCATTTATCGAGGAGTTTTTTGGGTCGGACACACGCTTGAATCACAGTGCAAATGATCACTCTTATCAAAGATGATTTTTCGTGGACCGCAGTAGGGTCGATGTCTTCATCTTGGATTCTTCCCTTGACGTTTTGTCCCCAGTTACAAGTTGTCAGAAATGAAGCAGCCATATGCATACAACTCAGTTATGTTGATCCATAATGCATGTGGAGTCAGTTGTGAGTCGCTTTTTCGCTTTCTTAAAACTTCTCTTCAGTACGAGTTGAGTAGTGGTCGGCGCTACGGCTGTATTTAGATTACGAGCTGTATTATGTAGAGCAAATTTTCTTCATGTTGGTAAAATATTGTGCTACCAAGAAAAATGCGAAATGTTCATGATCATGTTGATGATGTACACAGTCGGATGGCGTTGATATGTTTTTACGAATATTATTTGATTGTCGGTCCTCGGTATCAATGTTGGAAATAAATGTCATACAAATATCATCTTGCATCATCAGTATCTTCGGTCTAGACCGTCCCCGTTCTTTTGTCAAGCATGATTTTCGACGTTTCTTCGTTGTCAATGATAACTATATCTTTCCCAGCTTCGATCCACCGAGAAGCCAGGAATTACAATGAATCACTGGAAGCGACTCTCTAATAGTGTACGTCGTTACTTCTAACGCAGTGGAAGTCTGTAGAAACTAGGAAGCTTCCGGAAGCGTTTCACTGGCTCTCCCGTCTGTTTTTACGCCGGAACAGATTGAAGCAGCACAGTGAATTTAAGGGGCCCTCCATCTGCGAGAGTAAACCTGAAAAGATTTTTCGTTTGATGTTTTTGTTCCAGTAATGGACGTATGTCCAAAGAAAGTGAGAAACGAAAAAAAAATATTGGAACAGAAAAGTCGCAAATGAATAATATTGGAACAATGAAGTGGATGTCGAACAATGCAGTGGATGTCAAACAATGAAATGAATGTACCTCCTGCTCAACAACACGAGGAAGGGCAGCATGACCCGATCAAAGCATCCGGATGCGCAGAGATCGTCAGCACTTGACCCATCATGGCCTCCATCCTCTGCTGATGCTTGTCCCTCTCGTTCTCGTCATTTGATTCCGCCTTAGGCTGCACCTGCACCGTCTCCATCTCCGCAGTGAGCCCTGGTTCCAATTTTCTCACTTCGGGCTGCTTCGCCCATTCGTTCATTTCCTTCTTGTGTTCTTTGCCCCATTTCAGGACTTCCTTCAGGGAGATGGTCTTCCCCTTGACGTCTGCCGCGCCACACGCCTTCTTCAGTGTGAAGTCCGGAAAGTCCGCGCACTGCACGGTGCCCAGTCCCGCCTCCGCTTCAAGGACGGAGGCATTGTCACTGCCTCGCAGAAACCCGCGTTTGTTGGCCACTACGACTGATGTTACAATAGCCCCCAACTTCAGAGAAGTAGACGAAAGCACCATCTTCGTTGCTGTTTCAGTGCACTTGGCAATAAAAGTTTTTTTTTGTCTACCTGATTTACGAAAGCGCCTATGCAAATCACAGTGATTGTGAAAGGGGAAGTCACAGTTCTGAGAACAGCGGACAAATCTATAGAGTTAGAGAATACCTCTTAAAGACTATCGAATTCACTAAATGAAAAACCTGTAGTCGTCTACGGGAGAACTCTGTCTTCTTGTCACACGTACTGCTCATACTAATGGCTAGCTAGTTTTTTTTCACAAGGGTTTACTCCAGTGGTCTGGCCAAGGTCTATTCAAGTGGTCTGGCCAGGGTTTACTCAAGCGGGACGACGCGGGTTTTGTTAGAGGAAGAGAACGTAAAGGCGCAAACCGAAGTCCACAGCATGTGAATACAGCAGCACACAGATAGTCAGTCACACGAACTGGAAGAAGTTACCAACATATAGTCACACGAACTGGAAGAAGCTACCGACGACGACTATCACTATTGATGACCGAAGATACAGCACTATGATTATCACTTTTAACCGATGGCAGCGATGCTGCGATCTTCTATGATCAAACAATCGTGTTTCTTCGCCTCAATACCATTGGGGATCATACAGATCAATAACGTGGTTGGATCCTATCCTGCAGATCTAGGACGAAAATTCTGCACTCGGTCATTTATCGAGGAGTTTTTTGGGTCGGACACACGCTTGAATCACAGTGCAAATGATCACTCTTATCAAGTATGATTTTTCGTGGACCGCAGTAGCGTCGATGTCTTCATCTTGGATTCTTCCCTTGAAGTTTTGTCCCCAGTTACAAGTTGTCAGAAATGAAGCAGCCATATGCATACAACTCAGTTATGTTGATCCATAATTTATTTGGAGTCAGTTGTGAGTCGCTTTTTCGCTTTTTTTAAACTTCTCTTCAGTACGAGTTGAGTAGTGGTCGGCGCTACGGCTGTATTTAGATTACGAGCTGTATTATGTAGAGCAAATTTTCTTCATGTTGGTAAAATATTGCGCTACCAAGAAAGATGCGAAATGTTCATGATCATGTTGATGATGTACACAGTCGGATGGCGTTGATATGTTCTTACGAATATTATTTGATTGTCGGTCCTCGGTATCAATGTTGGAAATAAACCTTGCAAAAAGTGCTATGTATGTAAAATGATGAATTCTTGCATACAATGACTTTCTGGCGGACAAACGCAGGGAATTTGGTAACACGTACGTGGTCGTCAAGTTCGTTCCCTCCTCTTTCTTCCACAATTTCTTCTCATCGTTGATCCGAGCCACCCCCCGAGGTTTTACCTTCAAAATTGAGTTATTCGGTAAATCTGAAATCATCACGCTAGCCCAATACTCAATCGAATTCAAACCAGTTGCTTGGGTGAAAACAAAGAATAAGTTTAAGTTTTTTTGTATGGTTTTCCTTTTCTGTCACCAATCGATAGAAGTAGTAGTAATTTACCCATTCGTGGGGTAAGCTAAACAGAAGGGAGGAGAGAGGAGAAAGGGGAGAAAGTTTGCAGAGAAAAAAACAGAGGCGCCTCCTGTATAAGAAAACGCTTCGCTCCTTCCTTGCGGATGATTATAGTGCACTTCTTGTATACAACTACTCCACACCCAACAACGTACGCGTAGGTTCACGTACCCCTGAAGAAAAATGCTTTTTCCTACTATCTCCGTCTGAGATACCTTCTCCTCCCGTATCTTTACTTTAGCAAGTAGTCAACATGCAAGTTGGGAGAGAGTCATGCTGTGAGATTTCAAATTCAAAAAAACTGAAGCTCTTGTGTGGCTTCGTCTCTTCCTGTATGTATGGGAATTGGAAGCAGAGTAGCCTCAACAGATTTCAGATGAGACAGGTGCACGACAGGTGCACGATGCGTTCTTCGTTCTTGGTGAAGTGGGCATCCGAGTCATGCTTCTTTTCACGTAGTTCATGTGAGGACATTCATGTGAGAATAAATCATCTTGGTAAAGCCTGGTGGAGACATAATCCTGGAGGCAAAGAAAGTAGCCTCAACAGATGGAGATGAGACAGGTGCACGACAGGTGCACGATGCGTTCTTCGTTCTTGGTAAAGCGGGCGGAGGGAGGAAAGCATGACAGAAAGTAGGGAGGAAAGAATGACAGGAAGGAGTGGTCTTCATCATCATGGCGTCTTAGATGGTCACTCAGCAATTTGCAAGAATGAAATGTCTGGTGGACAACTCTAAAAGACGATGTGATGTTTTTTTTTGGATTTTTTTGATGTTGGAAGGAGTCAGTAAATCACTGGTGACCATTTTCATGCTCTAAACAGCCTTATGCTCTAAGAAGTCGACACTACTACCCAGCTTGTTACCCATACTATTCACCAGCTTGTCGTTCACGCTACTCACCAGATTGTCGTTCACACTACTCAACAGCTTGTCGTTTGCGAGCGGCTCTCAGTGACGCCAAGGTGAAAGACTTGACCGACCTCGTTGGTGCTGCACCTCCAGTAGACACGAAGGAACCTCCTCCCGTGGCGAAAGAACCTCCAGTCGGTGGATTGACAGGATGACTGGTGGTTGCGCTACCTCCATTATATGCACCATCTGAGCCACCATGTCCAACTTCGGGTCCTGCTCTAGAGTTATCGGGTAATCTGGAAGATTCCGCGTCGCCATGAGCAGATGCTGACGAAGCTCCAGCAGAAGTTCCGGTTCCAATGCCATTGTAGTTATAAGAAGTAGTAGTTGAAGTGGCATGATGATGATACTGATGCTGAGTGTTAGAAGATCCACCACTGGTTGGACCACCAGCAGTTACATTTTTTGTGTAGGTTGACCTCCACTTTCTGCCTCTCTTTCGCAAGTAAATCATGCATTCCTTTGCTTCAGTAGAAGAAAGCAAGGACGCGGCATTGCGCAGATTGTACAACTCAAAAGGCAGTCTCCGAGGTCGATCTTGCTCTTCTGGTTCCCGAGTGTAAAGAGAAGATGAAGATGCTAAAAAACGCCTGACTACACTGCTTGCAGCACCACCACTATTACTATCACTGCCTGGAGCAGATGTAGTTCTTGTACCCAAGTAGAGTTGAAGTTCTTGTTCCAATTCCTGTTCCTCATGCAGGTCTCGGTCTTCCTTTTTTCCCAGAACAGAACCATCGCCTTGGTCTTCCTTCCTTGGTCCTTCTTGCACATTTTTCTCAAGGCCTTTAAGCCAGTCTAACGCCGCATCCCGAGCTGTGAGCTCTTCCTCTTCCGAGGACATGATATCATCTAAGTCGATCGTTGAGGGTTCCTCAGTCTCCAAACCGTCGACCGCAAGCATAGGAAAGGATTCATCGAACGTTTTCAACTTCAAACTCCGATCACACTCTTGCTTCAGTTGCTGCGCTGCGCGAACTAGCTGCACCACGCGTGGAACCCGGCAATGCCCACAGAAGTTGTCGGCTAGCATATTAGGCTTAGATGAAGTACCCGGGACACAAAAGCGCACGTTTTCGAGTCGTCCCTTCTCGCCACAACCGAGACAGCGACGTTGCAGTGCCTGGTCAAACGCAGCTGGAAGGTTTTGGAGAGACAACAAGTTTGTAACCGCGTTTCGGTCTACGACATGCTGACACCATCTGGTCAAAAATCCACTGCCGGACCGGCGTAAAGTTCCCATATTCCCCACTACAAACAAGTGGCGCTCGGCGCGCGTGAGCGCCACGTTCACACGACGAAAATCGCGCCCCAAAAACCCAACGTCGCCTCTCGCATTGCTGCGCACCGTGTTCAAGATGACACAGCAACTTTGGCTTCCCTGACACCCGTCAATCGTTTGCACTTGGACCGCTGCCGTCTCCGCTGTCATTCGGTTCTCCATAAAGTCCCGATAAGTGTTGTCTACACTGTCCAAGTTCTTTTCCAACCGCATCAGTCGAGTCACTTGCCCAGCATAGGGGCAAACAACCAATACTTCCATCCACGGGTGCACCCGCTGAACATAGGCCACTAGTTGTTCCACGATTCTGGCCTCGGTTTCATTGCGCCAACTGGTTCCGCATTTTTCCTCCACGTTGCCTTGAATCGCACCTGTATCCAGGACGTGGAAATTCGCTAGCTCGTCCTTCACCACATGCTTCAAATTCTGGTACATAGGGTCGTCAAACAAGCGTGAGTGGTAAAACTCCTTAGCCGGAAATTCGCTAATGGCGGGATGCATTCTGTACTGCGTATCCAAGAGCAGCGGTTGCATTCTGTTGCTCTGAAACCGGTCGAATAACGAGTAGCTCAACAACGGCTTCGAAGAAGAAGAGTGATTCTGGAGATTCTGGAGATTTGATTGATTCTGATCGTGCCCTTGTCGTCCAAGCCCTACTACTTCTTCGCTAGTAGTGCAGCAGGCTACGGCATCCACTTCTGGAGCTAGGATTGTTGCCGGCAATTGATTCGGATCCCCGACCAACAAGCACGAGCGGCAACGACTTTTCACAATCGGAATCAGCGTGCTAGGTTCCGTTGCTTGGCACGCTTCGTCGATCACGAGAGTAGAACAGGGCTGCGAAAACGTCATCGTCGCACACTGATTCAAGGTCGCAAACACGAGATCCTTTTCTTCGGCCATGTGGTTCTCTAGCCAATTCACGATCCGCATGTGGTCGGCGGACTTCCTGCCTTTTGCGTTAGCGTTTTTTAGCGGGAAGTGGTCGAAATTCTGCGTGAAAAAGTCGGCCAACCTCAGGTCGAGCTTGTACTTGCGGAAGTCGTAGGCCAGTTGGAACTGCAGTTCCGCGAGCATCTCACGGCACTGCACCATGTGCGGCAGCTCCACTGCGCGGTTAAAGTCCATCTCCATCGCGCCATTGCCTTGCGACCAAAACGGCTGAAAGCCCTTGCCAGGCGGCGCCTGACGGTAGAAGACGCCGCCACTCTCGCTGTAGCCCACCTGCCAGTCTGGGGGCATGAACACCGGACATCCCCGAACCAGTTTCCTGATGCCCGTGACTAGTTTCTCGATCTTCGAAAACACCGGTCTCGCTTCCATGTTCACTCGCTGTCTCAGCAAAGGTATCTCGTCTTTACTCATCGCTAACCACTGCTGCAGTCTCTGCTGACTGTCCTCGTCGCGGAACTGCGTGGCCAAAAGCCGGTGCTTCAAAGGTGACCACGTTTTACCCGAGACTTGCTGAAACGACAACACCTTCTTGTAGATCTCGTCCACCGCTTGGTTACTCGGCGCCGCGATCAAAACGCGGGGAAAGCGCATCGGAGCTAGATCCCAAACCTGCGACCAGGACTCGGCGGTGTTTGGATGCGCCGCGTCCAAGATCTGCCTACGAAATGCGGAGAACCACAGGTCCAAATCGCGCAAGAAAATTATGTTCAACACCCAAACGAGTGTGTGCGACTTCCCGGTGCCGGGAGGTCCGTGGACTAGGGCCACGCCGCTCTGCTGCAGGTCCGCACGCGTTACAACCGCTTTCTGAGACTCGTTGCAATTCGAAAAATTCAAAACTTGCAAACGCCTCGCGTGGCCCGCTTGCGTCGCTGCCTCGGCGGCACTTGATGATGAACCTCCAACACTAGAGGTTGAAGAAGATGCTGCCCCAGAAGATGCTGTTGTTCCTTTTGCTTCCACGCTGTATCCACAAAGCACGACGTCTCCCATGGTCGTGTCGTCTCGTGAACTCACGGGCATCCCTGCTTGTTGTCGCGCAAAGGCGTTGGCTACACTGTCGTCACGTCCATTAGAACTTTTGTGGGACAGGACTTCTTCCGCGGACAGTACTGCAGAAACTTCCCGAATAACAGAAACCAAGTTCGCGACGGCGCCTAAATTGCAGACATCGACACGCAAACTCTGCTCTCCAAGAGAAAAGCTATCCCACTGCGCATCCTGACCGTAATTGCACAAGCTCCACTGGCCTTCGACGTGGGAAATGAAAGCTAAGCATAGACTCCGACTTCTGAAGTCTCTCTCTTTTCTCAACTAGACCAAATCGTGGAAAATTGCTCTTTATCGCATCATAGATCTCGAGAGTAGTTCCATCTCCTTTATGAATCTCCACGAACGAATTTCATGTAGTATTGATCTCTATTGATGCTAACGGTCAGGGTCATGGTCATGCACTTCTTACCGGTAACTTCGAAAAAAATCTCGGAAAAGTGACATCACAAATACCTGCATTCATAACATATGAAAGTGGCTTCGTTGCTCTTATGAACAAAAGCTTCCCGTTTTTGCCATTTCTCAGAACGCATATAGCGTTTTGTGTGGCGACTAGTCCCGCCGTTCGGCCACTAGCCACTTGCTGCAGCATCTGGAGCTGAAGTCCACCGCTATTGCTAGTCCGTCTCGCTTGCGCCTTGTGCCAATTACCAGCATTATTGCCTCCAAGCCCGCCACCTCTTTTTTCAGGTTTCACTATAAATTCGTTGACCATTTGCTGTATCTGTGCTTGGGCTTCACATACCAAAAAGTGACCCCAAAAATGACGGTAATGCTTCCAATCTCTGAATCGCACTGGCCTTTGCCGCAAGTCCGGTCCTCCAATTTCTTCGCTTAAAGGCAACCTCTTTGCTGTCCTCTTTGGTGTCACGCCACCACTTGAGCTTGATGAAGAGGCAGATGATCCTTGTCCTCCTCTAAGATTAGAGCTTCCGCAATTGCATTCTTCAGATCATTCCTGACTACTTCTTTCTATTCCAAATATTGGGAAAATGAATACAGTCAGCGTGGTCAGGGAAGATGTTAGTGCAGAATGCAATTTGGAAACCCTCAACTCTATTAAGTACTCCATCGCTTTCTTCCCCACTCGTTTCGGGAGTTCCTGCCACCATCCCCGCATCTGCCATGGCATTAGCGTCCGCGCTCAACAACTTGTGCCAAAAAGTCTGCTCCGTGAACTCGCTTGCGCCTCTGTCCTGTTGCCGCATAAACTCAAAGGCATCGAAGCCCGCATGAGTCGACACCTGGTTTCCAGGAGGAGCCGAACTACTCGTACTACCACCTCCAAATCTCCAGGATGAAGCAGACGAAGATGTCGAGGTGGAACTGTTATTACTTAGAGGTTAAGGAATTCCATTCCTGAGAACATCCCTGGCTTCTTTTTCAAATAGAAAACGGGCCCGGGATGGTAGTGAGGAATGCAATTCGGAAAGAACCCTTAAATTACTGCGTGCTGAAGAAGGTGGAGGCGGTGCTCCCGAGTAAAAGCTTCCACCTCCCTTATTTTTGCCTCCGCCCTTCTTTGAACTACCCTTATTTCTAGAAGGTCCTTGTTTAGACGAAGAAGATGAAGATGCACCTCCATGTTGATTGTTCGGTGGTAGATCACGTGTACTATTCAAAAACGCCCATGCTGCAGCTTCCTCCGCAGCTTTGGTTGCGGCAGATTTCTGTTTTCGATTCTTAGGTTCACTAGCGATCTTCGATCCCGGAGGAGGCGGTGGAGGTCGCCTCTTCGCTCCTTCATTGCCTCCGTTATTTGATGAACCAGACGATTCATTGCTACTTGCTGGCCTCTTAATTCCTCTATTATTGCTGGACGCAGTTGGCATGTTGAATTCCTGAGACAAAGTTGGCGGCCGAGGAGGTGCCTTGGCGCCAGGAGGTGGCGGTGGGGCGCTCATCCTTTGATGCTCAAGAAGTCACCGCTCTTATCAAATTCGAAATCAGAGGAACAAAGTTTTCTTTTTGTTTCATATCGTCATTTTTTTCAACAGAAATCAATGAGAATCGGTAACAGTGCGTTTATTGTGGTGGTCGCCTATAAAAGTGTCCTTAATACATGTTGTCGCTTTTGTCCGATTACAGTTACTGACAAACTTTTCCTATACATCATGTTCAAGTGTCGCTACCCTGTTTCCGGAAAATTTCAAGAGAAGTCCAAATTTCGAGCTCGAGCTGCTATAAAAAAACTAGAATTTCTGCTGCTGTTTAACTTCCCTTGTTGTAGAAGATCTTTTTCTTCGTTCCTTGTCCTAGTCGCAAAAATAAGGCGATCCTATCTTCCTCTTCTAGATCTTTCAGACATCAAGGGGTAGTGCGGAAATCTTCCTCAAATTCCTTTCATTTCCATTTACCAACAGATCATGTGGCTGCGTTCGTTCTAAACTGGTCTTGAGATAATGGTCTCTCTATCTTTGCTTTCGCGATTCAGGCTCCAGTAAGTATAATCCATCTTCAATTCTGTTCGAAGATCTTGTGATGTTCAGATGTTCACAGTCAATGAATTTACATCAAAGTCGTAAGAATAACATGAAATTCAATAGTTTCAACATCCTCTTAAATGGATGAAATTGGATCAAGTAATCGTAAAATACTGTGCATTTTGCGCGCTTGGGCGCGCGCGTGTTTCCGTTTTTGATAACAACGTCGAAGCAGAAATAGGGGTGGTGGTGCTAGTCAGTAAGATTTGTTATTGAAGAGGGATATCTACTCTAACTATACAATTCAGAGGGCATTTGCTCATCTAGTGAAGAGTAGCTGTTTACTTAACTTAGTAAAAACTTCTGTCGTGTCTGATAAATGTCTTATTCGTGAAGAAACAATGTCTTGAGACCTTCTGATTGTAGTAACTAGAAAGTACAACCACTCACAAGTACACCATATACGACATAGTTCAAGTTCATTTTATGCCTTACCACTTTTTCTCGTTATCATCTTCTGTTGTATTAAATCATGTCAAGCAAAACAGCTATCCAGTAGTTTCTCGTTATTTTTCTATCCTCATAACAACTTTCTTAAGAAGTACAACTACTAGAAGATTCTTGAAGATTCAGAGTATAATCATAAGCATATTTTCGATGTTCAGTAGAGAAGGTATTAATTCTACTACCTTAAGAAGCGTATCAAATCGTAAAAAGAACTGAGACCAATAATGATACTCTCGAAGAGGAAGTCAAATATTCATAAGGGAACAAGGTGAAGTTTTTTGGATACAGCCACCTCTATTTCTGGGCTCGGTAGTGTGAAGAGCCACAAATTTCCGCAAAGGAGGCACACGAGGACTCCGTGAAGAATCTTCCGCCTCCTAAAAATCCAACTCAATCTTCATGCCACAATAACAACCACAGAAAAGCAACAACCTACCGCAGAAAAGCAACAATTTACGCATGTCGATTGCTTGTGACAGTAGTGTAAATGTGACCTCCTTTCTTGCGGAAGAGTTGAATTTCTGCTTGAAGGGTTTGAATTTCGGTCTGCTGTTCGCGGATAGTCTCCTGCATCGCCTCCTCTTCCTTCAGCCTCAACTCCATCGTCACGTCGTCGTTGATCGTTACGGAGTTTTAGAGAGTGGGAAGTGGCGTATGTAGTTGAGAAGCATTTTTTACATAAAAACGAGAAGAGTAAAGGCGAGGGGGAGGACCACGACATCACTACACTTTTATTACATACAATTTATTCGAAAACTAGGAGTTGTACTACACTGCCGTTTATGATGAGTCGCAGATGATATTCCCCTGCAATACTATGTATAACATACTAGAAAAGTAGAAGCTAACTGAAATTATAGGTAAACTGGGGGGGGGCCTCCCTCCCTGGTACATATATAACTGAAATAGATAAAACTCCAAGTCGTCACTTCACCAAAATTTGCCATAATTGCTGATCCTTGCATTGAGTTTTTCGTCTAGCTCGACTTTCTGGTATCCAAGTTCCACCAATTTCTCTGATAATGCGGTATTCCTTGCCGTCTCCTGCTTGAAATTCGACAACAAACCATCTACTTTCCCTAATCTTAGAGCTACCGCGTTTCTTACATCCTCATCATGATGATGTCCCACATTGTACATCTAATACCCTATAACTGCAGGACAGAACATCCCTGGGCGATTCTTTTTCACAAGGAGAAAAAGAAGCCCCAAGGATGCACCCACATGTCATGATGCTAAAGAAGGATGCTTGAGGCGCGCTAGCCGTAACTTCCATTCCCGCGTAGACTGCTTGCCCTCCTTCTCACTTTCTTCTATCTTGCCAGACAACTCGAGCATGTACGGATCTTCCTCGGTTTCTCGCTCGATCATATCCAAGTCGATCTGATGTTCATCAAGTTCATAGGTTGTTGCTACACGAACACGTTAGAAATTTGTTGTTGCTACACGAGCACGTTAGAAATTTGTTGTTGCTACACGTACACGACAGGCAGAAAACTAAATCGTCATCACAAAAACTCTAATTACTCTTCTCCTATTTCTGGTATGACTGACTCAAAGTCCAGAGTGACATCACGAAGAAACAAGTACCTGCCGTCCAAACTTGAGCCTCTGCAAGTTCTGGAATTTGATTTGTAGGTCTTCGATTTCCGCTGCCACGACTTTCTTTTGTTTCCCTCTTACCACGTATTCTTTCTTCAGTGCTCGAAACTGCTGCTTCACCTGCGCTTTCTCCTGGTGCAATTCCGTAATCCTAACCATCAACTGCGACAATCGCTGGTTCGGGAACACCAGATACTCGCTCAAGTTCAAAGCTAGCATCGGATAGTCGTCCTCCTGCTCTGGGTCGGTCAGAGACTGGACCTGCGACAAACGCAACGTCAAGGCAACTGCGATTTTGTTGAGCATCTTCTGTTTTTCGCTTTGAAAGCCTTGGATCTCCTTGTCCGCTTGTTCTTGCTCCTTATCGATCTTCTTCTCGTCGCTGAGCAACTTCTGATGTGTTCTCCTCAACTCCTCCACGGCGCGCTGAATTTCAAGAAGGGCTTCTTCCATATCAAGTCGCTTATCCCGCAACTCGAGGACACCGTCGTAGACCGACATCTCGCAACCAGGGGGACACATATCTTCTTCCTGCTCCTCTTCGTCATCGCTGTCGCCTGAAGTAGGAAGATCGTGTAGTAAAATAATAATTGGTGGAGCACCGGAATTGACTGTGCAGCTGGTGGAGTGGAATATCGACTGTCTTTGGGAGGAATTTCAACCTACGTACCGATATTATAGTACTTTCTTTGTCGTGCTCCTGTAGTTGCTGCTGTACCTAAACTACAGGAGCACGACAAAGAAAGTAGTTGCTCCTATAGATATACTTAAAATTTGGAAGTACTTGCTCCTATAGTTGTACTTAAAATTTGGAAGTACTTGCTCCTATAGTTGTACTTAAAATTTGGAAGTACTTGCTCCTATAGTTGTACTTAAAATTTGGAAGTACTTGCTCCTATAGTTGTACTTAAAATTTGGAAGTACTTGCTCCTATAGTTGTACTTAAAATTTGTAAGTAGTTGAACTACAACACCTCCAATATCGTTGTACTGAATCATCTACCTCTAGTACCTATGGCAGCCTTAACGCGTTATTTCGGCAACACGTTATATGGCAGAATATTAATAGAGCAGTACTAGAATCCAACCAGCACGCATCTATAACGCGTTGCTAAAATAACGCGTTAGGCTTGTCATAGTACCATCATGGACAATAACATATGTTTTGCTGCATGGGATAAGCCAGAGTTTTAGAGGTAAAAACTAACCGGTTGTGTTTTAGAGGCATGAACAATATCTATAAATAAATGTTGAATCCTATGGTGGTGCGTGTATAAAGTACCGTCATCATCATCGTCTTCATCGGAATCTTCGTCTTCATCCGAATCCTCATCACTGTCTCCGGCTTTCTTCTTCTTCCTCTTCACCTTCTTCTTGTACATCCTCAGCAGCGCAGGCAAGAATGGACTATTATCGCCAACCAAATCTGAAAACTCACTCTGCAGGTTCTGCTCCTCTTGTCGCCAGTTTTCGATCTCCTCTCGTTTCTCCTGCAGTTTGTCCTGGCACTCCTTAATCTGTGCCATGATGCGAAGTCGATCGCCCTTGCACTTCTGCGACTTTTGCATCAACTTGGCGTCCTCGGTTTCGAGGTCATTGAGCGTGCCCAGCTCTTCGTAGAGGAGAAGAAGCTTGGTCTGAGCGTTGGGGATTAGACGGAGATGGAAGCCGTTGCCGATGGAAGAGTCCTTTCATCTAGGGGTGATGGGATAAGCACATGGAAAAATATGCTGCTTTTCGTCTTCTGCTGGATCCTCATCGTGAACAAGCCTGTGCTTGATTCTCAAAAATTCTGATAAAAAGAGAACAGCAAAATCGAAAGGAGAAAAAGGAGCTTTCAACTCTAATTCAACTCTACTAATTTTCCCCAGACAGTGTAGTGTCTTCATAACTTCAGATCGCTTTCCAACTTCGCTTTTTCTTTTTCAAGTTGACAAACTGCTTCGTCAAAGCCGTCGATTTTTTCCCGGATTTGCTGCTCCAGTTGCTGTCTGTTATATAGTGTTCTACGCTCGTATTCGTCGGTGCACTGCCTAGCAAGAGGTGTCTGGGAAAATTGGATAGCCCTTTGTCGTCTCTGCATCCTACGCAGACGCGTGCTTCGAATATCAAATTCCATCGGGAAGGAACTAGAGGAACGAGCACCGCCAGACTGTATTTTGAAGCAGGGAAAAAGATAGATCATTGACTTTTTGGGTTATTCAAATTGCGGCACAGACTATGAGAAACAAAACTTCTCGGAAGATCCAGGTTCATAGGATGATAAAAGTGCTTTGATGTTATGAAGCAGCATTAAATTGTTCTGTAGAATGAATTATAGTACCTTATCCGCGAAAAGCTCTCCTGTGGCTTCGAAGGCAGACAAATCGTCCTCGGCGAAATCAAACCGCTTCTCGGGATACTCGTCTTTCTGTTTTGATTTTCAATCGGGAAATGCTCTGTTATGAGCAAGCATGAGAAAAAAAGAAAATCAAGTAGGAGTGGTTTCTTGAAACAACTGCTCTACTAGGTTAAGAATGGCTCGTCCTTGTATCATCGAGTGCATAGATTTTGCTCAACAATAATATTTTGCGGATATAAAAAGATGAACTACCTAAGTTCAACAATATTCCAGTACCACGACAGCCGCTCCTCCTGTGCCGACGACTAAGTCTTTCAGATGGTGCGACACCGAACCGCCGATTTGTTCTAGCATGATCAAATCTCTCCTGACGCTTTTCTTGACTTCCTCTTTGAAGTCTCTCAATGCCAAGACCTTCTGTGTAAATTCCATCTTGATCGCGTGCACGGACTCCTCCAACAAAAACATCTGTCGTCGCTTCTTCTCCGCATTGATTCGCTGGTTCTCTGGCACCTTGTAGTCTGGCGCGGTTTTGAGGAGGTAATTGCCGAGAGTGTCTTTCGCTAGCTGGATAGCCTCGAGATCTTGAGGGTCGTCGCTGTTCGGTCCTGGCTTCGTCGACTCCAATTTCTTCATTTCTGCCTTTCGTGCTAAGCGTGCCTGTCTTCGTTGAGCTCGGATTTCCGCAGACGTCAAGGTCTTTTCACCCTCCAAAGACATCGGAGCCCCGCTAAAGCCGGCTGTAACTACGCCAGCGGCAGAGTCACTGCCTGCTGCACCCGCCTTCTTAGGGGACCCGTCTTGCGCTAGTTCGTCCCCCATTTCGCTGTCTTCATCGTCGTCTAAGGCCTGCGCGCCCGACTTGAAAATAAGACTGTGCAGACCAGCTAGATGTGCTTTTAGAGCAGCTGGAAGGGCTAAAACGCGAAAGGTGGTGATCTTGGACGGCGTCAAAAAAGCACGAACCACTATTCTTTCATGGTCTAATTGCTCCAAAAAGCGCTCTTTTAGCTTCTGGATCGCCACCTCGTGATACTCGATGCTCCACGCAAGCTCGGTGTGGACCTGCGGACGTGAAGATTGTGTCTGTACCCAAGAGTTGGCTTTTCAATCAAATCTGAAGTGGCACCAGAAAATGCAGGTCGAGAATTTAAGAACAGAGTCAATGTGCATCGAGGCGCTTCTTCGAACAACACTACTAGAGAACCTCCCTAAAATCACAAAAATATTACTTACATCTTGTATTTTCTGCTGTTGTTCTTGTTTGACGATTTCAATGTAGTCTGGATCTGCCACCATGTTCGGAATCAACTCGTTCTTTCCACTCGCATCCAGGTTGCTCTCCCGCAACAGCTCCAAATCTTTTCTTATGTCCGCGATTTGGGCACGCACATAGTTCTTCTTCTTCTCAGCAGCAGCCTTGGCGCTTTCTAACTCTGACTTGAGCTTCTCTTCCTGGATAGAGAAGTGATTCGCATCTAAAATGTCTTTCCCGGGAGTGGCGCCTTCATCTAAGGCAGGCAATTTCCAATCTGATACAGCGGTGTAAGTTAGGGGCTGACGGTAGCCCGACCAAGCCTGGTCGTCGAATTTGCCGGCGCCGGCTGTTGATGCGGTGGTAGTTGGTTGGGAGGGGAAACGTAATGATGGGAGAATAGACACAGAGATTGGATAAGGAAATACCCATGATCAAATGGCGACCACAAACACTCTACTTCGGAACGACCATAAGTGAATCAATGTACAACTTTCGAAAAATCTAAATTGGATTGATGAATTCTAGTACCTCCCTGTAAACAACAATAGTACCCAGACTCTTCTCTGCTTCCCGCCACTGCTTGAGACCGTCTCTCGCTAATGAGACAGTGTAGAGGATGCCATCGTCTCCTGCTACGAGAAGGAAGCATTTTTGCATCAGGCTGATACTCCTTACACCCCCACTTCGCATACTCCCCTGTTGCACTTGGATATACCTCATCATATTCTCCTCGTCGATATGAGGAATCAGCCACACTCGGGAGTCCTTGAACCCAACCGCTAGAAAGTCGTCTACTAGTGACATGCAAGTGACCTGATTGCAACACCTCAATTCTTGCATTTGAGAAACAGGAGAAGCAGTGGCACACGCATACAAATAAGGAACTCACACCTTTTCCTTCCCTGTACTAGTCTAAATACCTGTGTATTTGGCGGAAGCTTTGTCTTCGGGTAGGCCATGCAACCGTAAGCCTTCGTTCCAAAGGCGGACTCGAGCCAGCCTGTTTCCCCCGTTGCTTCATCGCCCACAGCGAGAGTGTACAAGTGTTCTTTGTATCTGAAGTTGGTTGGTCGAGAATGCTTCTTTGTCTAATTCTCTGAGAGAAAGTGTAAGAAAAAGTATGATCATCAAAACATTTCATCTTGCGCACTGTGACATAAGAACAGGCAACGATACATCAACCGCAAAAGAGTAAGTAGTTGTACGGCCCCGTCGCGCTGAAGACTATTGTGTTTGCGTCTTTGTAGACGGCTCCCGTAATTGCGATCACTTCTTCCAGTGTTAGAGTCGGCTTTTACTCATCTCGGTCCCCTCGTCATCTGGACCCTTTTGCCGCGGTCCTTCATGGAAATACAAAGCAAAAGGTACCAAGATGCTGAGAAAAATGGATACCCCACCATTAGAAATGAGTTGTTACGACCATAACACTGGCGCTTCGTCGTCTTCAATTGTGGACTTTTTCTTGGCTCCCTTCTCTTTCTTGGTCGGACTACCCGCTGCTTTCGCATCCGGTGATTTGGCAGCTTCACCGCCATCACCTTCACCCGCCTCCGCGTCTTCCGCTTCACCGCCTCCCGCCGCCACGGCAGCTTCTTCCTCACTGCTTTCTTCTGGGATAAACCGTTCTGGCTGCCACAGTTTGTACCCTAAAGTTGCAATTTCGAAACTGTCGGAGGTGTCTAGTGTGGAAGGATCCGGACACCGGACTTCGGCTACTGTGCCATCCGAAAAGGCCAACAGCAGTTTACTAGAACTCCCGTGCCACGAAAAACTCAGGGCTTGTGCGTGCAAAGTCACGAAGCCCAACGGCGTCAACAAGCCCCCTGCACTACTGCTGCTACCCACTGAGAAAAAGAACAAAGTCTTGTCGTCACCTAATGTTACGAAAACCTTCGCGTTCGGGGAGAAAGCCATACACCGAACCGAGACCCCAGCATGAGGTTTCTTCGCTTCTCTCAGCAGAAAACTGCCTTGGTAGAGGGTGAAAACCCTCAAGACGCCGTTGGTGTAACCCACGGCTAGAGTGCGGCATGAACTATCCACTTCCGTTGGCGGCAAGACCATACACGAAATGCCCGTCTCAGGATAAGGGTTCCCTTCGCTGCTGGAGAAGACCTGAAGAGAACAAGTTGTAAAAAGAACATATCTATATAATCGAAAGAAGGTAAAGACACGCCTCTAATTACATTTGAAACTTTTTGGCAATGAGGCGGTTGTCGACACTAGATCATCAAAAAAGAACGACTCATCTCGCTTACCAAAGAGCTGCTGACGCTTTGATCTTCTGTCACGTTGAAGACGCGCATTGTGCCATCTGATGATGCCGTTATTGCGCTTCCGTAGTATGGCGGCAGCGTGATTAACCCTGTTATTGGTTCCGCATGCGCTTTCAGCAATGCTTTAAACTCTCCGCTTGCTACTGAGTAGTGCCACAGTATGCCGTTCCTACTATCTTGCAACACCCACCTGCTCTTGTCTTTTGAAACGGCGATGTGCTGAATGGTCGCTGGATACGGAGATTGCGGAAGTTCGACCTCGCGGGCACAAGGTAGAACAACGTTGAGGTTTCCACTATCGTAATCCGCCTCTGCAGAATCTATCTCCGCATATGGCCACCACCTCACGAAACCATCCTCACCTGCGCTTACCACGTACTTGGATCCGGTGGGGAAGATGAAAGTTCATGCTAGGCATAGGCATAGAAAACGCCAGCTAACACAGAGAGAACAATGAAAGTTGCGCAATCAAAACTCATTGATTTCGGTTCCGCATCTCCACGATAGAGACACATGAAAGTAGAGACTACAGATGGAAACGAAAACCATATATTAGCATCTTCCTGAGAAACTGACACAACGAAGAACCTACTTGTCCATAAACTTATCCTCATCCCAAAAGACGACATTCAAATTCCCGGCATGAGCGTTCTTCCCCTCAGGTGTGACGAATTCGCACTTCACGAAGACACCCTCCCACAACAACAGCTTGCCGTACTCGGATCCCGTCACTATCTTCCCATCCGGTAACTCGACATACCCGTAAATATCTGAGAGTTCTGTTCCGCCAAACTTACCGAGTGCCCCTTGTAGCTTCAGACCGGAGAACGTGGTGGCCATCTTCCAAAATCGGATGTGGCCAACGCCAGTGGTAATGAGCTGGCCAGGAAACTGACCCCAACGGACCTAGGAAGTGGAGTTGAAAAAAGATAGATCATGATCGTGTTCATCTCTAAAAATAGTGGGAACTTCATCTACTGGGTAAGTAGTAGAAGTTGACGTGATGATCTATTCTAGTATCTATTTGGGAACAAAACTCAAGAACATCATTATAATTTATTGTTTTATTCTAGTACCTATTCGATCTCATGTTTATTCTAGTACCTATTCGTGAGGAAAATAAGAACAAGGAAGCCGAAGAAGTTTATACCTGAAAAATATCTTGTCCGTATGCCTTGCATTTGAGCAAGATGCTCTCGTTTTTCCAATTCCAAACCGTGAGCAGGTAATCGGGACTTGAGCCTAAACTTGCTAACTGAGCTTCATTATGCGGTGAGAATGCGACGCCGACGTAACCGTTTCTTAGAGCAGGAGGTCAAGGAGGAATATACGTGTTAAGGAGCGAGCCTATATAATTTTCATCCAACATCATCTATTCGCTCTGCTGTCCTATCAACCACAACAAAACTCGTTCTTGGAACAATCAAAGCAACAAACCTATGTATAATCCTCGCCATAACCTATCACTGCACTTCCTCAAGATCCTGTGCACTTTCATGGTCGCAAACGCGTATATGAAAATCCTTGGCGGCTGCTTCTCTGAGGAAAACTCCGCAACTGCTAAGTAGTTTCCGTCAGGGGATATTTGAACTGCACCTACACCACCACTATCGCGGCCGTGGAGAATCCTCTGTTCCTCTGAGACTACGTCAAATAGCATCACCGAACGACCAACCGTGTAACAAATCTCACTGCCTGATACCCAAGTGGCGTTCTGTTGAGGGAAGATCCTTGGGGAGTTTCGTAAGAGCTTTTACAACTTATTCAAAGAAACAAAATTCATTTGCCCCACTAAGTACTCACAATATTGATTATACCAGGATCTACCATAGTAATCAAATGAGAAAAGTAATCATGTAAATACGCTTGTTTGCGTGAAGTCGAAACCATCGACCCTTTCGAAATGCGCTATCTGTGTTGGCAATTGGTCTTTATCCCTAGGTTGAGTCGCGAGCTCAGCTTCCCCATCCATGTAGCTGTAAACGACGCCAGGTTCCCCGCTGCCATCTTCATTGTCCGTGGCTCCCTGGGTTTTTAGAACACAAGTGTAAGAGAAAGATGACTTTATTGAAAGAAAATAGATACCTGTGGAGCAGACTCAGATAACCTGCAAGGAAGTATGTAGTTCTTACAAAAAAGTCTAACTATAGAAAAAAACCTGTAGCTCTCGTGTTCAAAGTCTAACTATAGAAAAAAACCTGTTTGCTTGCTTTTGCTAGGTCCACACTAACACGCTTTCCTTTAGTCCACACTCGGTTGCTTCCTGTAAGCCGTCTGGACATTTTGGAGACTGCGCGAAGAGTCGCCATTCCACCACCCAAAGACTCACTTAGCGTCGCCGAGTCGCTCTTCGAACCCGCACGAGATGTAACTATTGCATTTGAGATAAAGGAACTCTTGTATGTGATCCATTTTTGCTCTTTGGAAGAATACCAATTCAAATGCAAGATTAACTGCAGAATTGCGACACTTCAGCACACAAGTTGTGCTCCTCTTAAAAGATTTCTTGAAATACCAACATTCTCTCCAGGTTCGGTATTGAAAACATCGCCACCCTCTGCGGCGTCTCCCGGTGGCGCCTCCGCAGCGGGTTCTGCGGGAGCATCAGCCGGGGGTGACTCAGCAGGCGCTTCGGCCGCATCAGCCGGCGCACCTCCTGGCGCCTCGTCTTCCTCTGCCATAATTTTTACGATTGGTAAGTCATTGCCGTACTGTCATGAGTTCATGTTGATAGTGACGAAAAATGATTCAGATATTTTTCAGAAGTTCCGATTGTTGAAGGAAAGCACCGATTGACAAGAATATCATTAGAGTAAGCAGTTTTATGGACCAATCCAGATTTTTGATTTTTCTTGGTTGAACAAACGAATCATTATAGTAAGCAGTTTTATGGACCAATCCAGATTTTTGAATTTTCAAAAAAATCATACAGACACAAAGCAACGAAAGACACTGATTTTTATTGGTCATCAGCATGAAGAATCTTTTACCGAACAAACGAAGATGTTCTGCCATCTACCTCAGCAGACAACGACGTCTTCCTCACTCTCTGATGAAGCGTCTCCGAAAATTTCTCATTGATTCGTATTCGTACGTCACCGACTATAAATCTACCGAATCGATAGTTTCGACGGCATACTTTACTAATAGATCTCTCTGCAAAATGCGAGAGGTCATAACCGCGTGGGAAAATGTTGTTGATACACGACAACAAGCCAGTAACGAGTTCCCAACTCCCAAGCATAGCGAGTCCGATTCATTTCGACCACAAGCGTAAAAGTAAAACCGATGCCAATAAAACAGCAGCAGTCATCATCACGATCACGGAGTCAACAAAGCGTAAGCACATGTCTCAACTTCGAGAACCAAAGATTAGTTGCGGACCTCACCACCCCTCCCTCTCGATCCACCACACCGTCTCCATGCCTAGGCGTAGACGTATTTTCGTGGCCGTCTCCAGTCGCGCGCAGTGTGCAAGTATTAGACCTTATACTTCTTATATTCATCTTGGAAAGCTGCATCTTTGCCACGTGTTCCCCTTGCAAAAAAAAGCATCTTAAAGATGCTTCGCAAGATAAATTACAACTGTAAGCCTTAATAGTACTGCGAGAACTACTTGCAAATGATCCTTCGAGAAATCATGTCCGGCAATGATTCCTCCTTGTTTCAGCATAGAAGCGTAGTGCGCGATGTCGCCGGACACGGACTCGAAGCTGTGGTCCGCGTCGAGGAAGATCAAGTCGAAATGCTCTTCAGTTTCTGACAGTGTGTAGTCTAGCGAATTGACACGATGCATTTGACAGGGACTGTGCTGATAATCGCGATTGTGCTGTTCGCAAGCGGCGGTGACGTTTTGAGAGTAGTACTCGAGAACTGCGTCTAGCGAGGGCTTGCCGTCCATCCAACGCTTAGAGGCATGACGCTTTTCCATACTCCAGAACATCCTTTCCTTGGCGCTTTTCCTACTAGAAAAGAAGTCTCGACGCCTGTTCTACTAGCAAAAATGTCAAGGATTGTTCATACTTGTGGGGGATGTATTTTGGGTTTGGGCTTAGGGCTTAGGAGGGATCCTTAAAGTAGGGGTCCACTACAGCGTAGTACTCGATGTAGCGACCAAGCTTCTGTAACAAGTACCTCATCGTCTCGCCTTTCTCTACACCGACTTCAGCTACACGGATTTTCGTTTCTTTGAGAAGTCGTTGTAGACGTTGGGCTTGAAGACGTTGTTTTTGCTCGTCTTCTTCTGTTTTTGAGATTTCTTCTACTCCATACAATCGTCGGCGATGAAGCAGAAAGTTTTCTTCACTTTTTTCTCCAACTTTCGCAGAGGACCCATTCCTCTCCAAAACTTTCTTCAGTATCTGCTTCTCTGCCAGGTACAAGAGCACGTCGAATCTAAACCCAAAAACGCGTTGGTCATATTGAATGTCAACGCGGTTGAACAAGAAAGGTAGACTGTTGATCATGTGATCTCCCAGATTGAAAAATGGCAACGACTTCAACGTCACGTGCTGAGTCACGCGGTCTAAAAAACATCCCAAAAGCTGAGTAGCGAAATTGCGCATGTGCTGCCAGGTCAGTGAAGAGCTTGTACTTGTAGTTATAGCGCTTGTTCTAGTTTTACTACTTCCTGTACTACTTGCTGTACTACTTCCTGTACTACTTGCTGTACCAGTTCTTGACGGGGTGTCCATGTCCTCAACCTCTGAGCCAAAGACGTGTCCAAAGCGACGTGTGAAACCAAAGTCTAGATCCCAAATTACGTCGCTTCTGGAGGTGCTGCTAGAAGATATTCGTACTGAAGAAGTCGTAGCTCTAGCTCTTGTACTGACGTCTAATTGCTCCAAGACCAAAGCAGCATGATTTATCGTGTCCTGGACGAGATCTCTGGAAGTTTTTCTATACGCTGATTGCGATTCGATTGCTTTTTGTTCCTCTGTCAAATTTGGTTCAGGGGCATTGTAGTTTTGCTCTTCTCGCGCTTGCGGTTGTTCTGGCCTTCCTGAAAACTCCGCTTCTTCATCTTGTTCGTGGTCCTCTTTGTCTGACAACAAAAACTGCTTGCCTGTTGCAAAACTACGAAGTTGGTCCAGCATTGCTTTATGTACACCAGCTTCTTCACAATTCTGAACAGCGCTCAGTAGTGACTCCAAAGGAGATAGGACTAGGGGTGTCGTAGACGTTGGTTCTTTACTGTTTGACCTTGTAGTTTGTGTAGGAGATGCAGACACCAAAGGAACCACCCGCATACTCGTACGACTGCAAATTCCTCCTGCAGCGAGTGCCAGGTTGTACAGGCCTTGGAAAACGCGACAGCCTTCCACAAGTGTCTCGACGTCCACCCATTGAGATACTTGCGCGTTGTCGAGCAGGACGACGTTGAAGCTTGCGTTAGCATTTCTAAGTGGATCAAGGGTATCGTCACTCTCAAGGGTCTCGAACAACAGCTGCTAGAACATGCCCTATCAATGGAACAAAAAGAAGAATATTAGAATTAGTAATCATACTGATGTGTGTCTTGACGTTGAAGCTTGCGTTAGCATTTTTAAGTGGATCACCAACAAGAACAACAAAAAAAGATCTTTCTTATAATTATATCTCTTCTCTTTATAATATCTCTTCATCTTCTCAATAAAAAACATTGACATGATTCATACTAACAGTAACAGTTGTCCTCCCGTAATGCCATCTTCGTTCACAGCGTTCGAGTGGATTTCCAAGAGTTCGTGATTACTCAGGATCATGGACCGGAGACTGCCACAAGCGACTAGAGGTTGCGCCATTGCATTCTTCCAAGCATCCTTGACTCCTTGGCATGCATGCGGGTCTATCCTTTGCATGCATGCGTGGTCCGAAGTGACAGGTCAACTCTCCTGCTCACCGTCAAGACTGACAAGTTCGGAAAGTCGATAATGGTCAAGAATGGTAATGCAGGACGCAATGTGAAAGCAACCCATAAATTAAGGCCGCGGAGCACTTCGTCGAAATCTTTACTACGGCCATACAGATGCCGAAAGTGTAAATCCGGGTCTATCCACGTATCACTAATCTCCATTCGGTGGATTTCATGCTCTGAGCTTTTAGCTTCACTTTTTAGAACTACAAGGGCAGGCACGATGAATTATTTATTATGCCGTCAAGTACTGAGCTACTGCAGAAAGAGAACTAAAAAATGCGGGTTTTCGAATTCTTTCCGCTCCATCTGAAACATTTTCAGGATAAGAAGCCTTCAGATAGATGAGAGGATGTCATAATGTTTCGGCCACAGCAGCAGCACCATCCGCGCAGGCGACAGAAGGCAATGCGGAGAGGACGGAGGACAAGACGAGGCAATACGAAATAAGGATCTTCATTTTTCATGGTGTGATCGCCTTGTTAGGCTTACACATTATTTTTTGTTAGATTTTCGATGTTTTAAGTAGATCACATGTAGTTGCCGATCCACCACGCCTTATTGAAAAACACGGCCAAGACGTCGCACAAGACTGAGAAAAAAGTTATAGCGTTTTTACAGTAGCATGTGCACGTTCGTTCCCTAAGAGTGGTCGTCTTGTCAGGATCTGGGTGCCTCACTGTCACTCACGGCTCCTCGACAAGTCCACTCAGGCCCTTTTCACTTCATTCACACTCTCGCTCCCAATCTTCGGAAGATAGGATTTAAAGTCATCATACAACAGCATCGTGCTGCGGCGAAAAATAGTCCCGGGTCGGAAAAAAGACCGGGGCGGGGGTGAGTATCGCGCGCAGGCGCGCGGTCGGATTCAGCACGCGCCGAGGCCTCCCGATTGAAAAACGAAGGATGTGGATCTTTCGCGACTTTTGTAGAGGAAAGTCGCAAAGAAAAAGTCCCGGCTTTGTTGGTCGTTGCACCGCAGCCACTGCTAATGTAAGGGAAGAAGTCTAGCAGCAGCGAGCAGCGCGCGCCGTGCTGACGCCAGGAGAGCCGCCGCGAGCTGCGAAAGCGCGGCTAGCTGCCGAGCCCGAGGGGCGGACCCGTGGCCCTTTGCTCCAAGGGCCTCGCTTTTCCAAGCGTCCCCCTGGGAACGTCTTCAAATATCCAAGCCTTCGGGGGAGACGGCCGGCGAAGCGAAGGCCCGCGCAGGTCATCGACTTAGCGCGGACCGGCTGCCCGGCTTGGAGCATGAGGCCCGAAGCCGGGCCCGAGTGTGCGGTCTCGTGGCCCGTACCCCAAAAGCCCCGCCTTTCTAAGCGTTCTCCTTGGGAAGTCTTCGAGCGTCCCGGCCACCAGGGGAGACGGCAGGCGAAGCGAAGGCCCGCGCAAGTCATCGACTTATCGCGGACCCCGGACTCCAGGGGAGACGGCAAGCGAAGCGAAGGCCCGCGCATGTCGTCCAATTATCGCGGACCGGCTGCCAGGCTTGGAGCATGAGGCCCGGAGGCGGGCCCGAGGGTGCGGACTCCTGGCCCTTTACTCCAAGAGCCCCAGCTCCCCCGCCGTTCTCTTTGGAAATTCTTCAAATGTCCTGGATTTCGGGGGAGACGGCAGGCGAAGCGAAGGCCCGTGCAAGTCGTCGGCCTATCGCGGACCGGCTGCCAGGCTTGGAGCATGGGGCCCGAAGCCGGGCCCGAGGGTGCGGGCTCGTGGCCCTTTCCTCTGCTCCAGCGACCCCGCTTTTCTCAGCGTTCTCCTTGGAAAGTCTTCAAGCGTCCCGGATCCCTGGTGGAAGCGCAGGCGAAGCGGAGGCCCGCGCAAGTCGGCCCGCGAAGTTCGTCGGCCCACCGCGGACCGGCTGCCAGGCTTGGGGCAGGGGGCCCGAAGCCGGGCCCGAGGCTGCGGGCCCGAGGTCCTTTGCTCCAAGAGCCCCGCTAGCCTAAGCGCCCGACCCGGAGGGTCTTCAAATGTCCCGTATTTCGGGGGAGACGGCAGGCGAAGCGAAGGCCCGCGCGAGTCGTCAGCCTATCGCGGGCCGGCTGCCAGGCTTGGAGCATGAGACCCAAGGGCGAGCCCGAGGGCACCGGCTCGCGGTTCTTTGCTCCACGGGTCCTGCTCTTCTAAGCATTCTCCTGGGGGGTCTTCGAATGTCCTCGCTTTCATTCTTGGGAGATGGCAGGCGGAGCGAAGGTCCGCGCAAGTCGTCGGCCCATTGCGGACCGGCTGCGAGATCTCGAGCGGGAGGCCCGCAACCGGAGCCGCGGAACCGCATGGGCCTTCTGCGCGGTCCGCACTGGTTCCCCAAGTCCCCTGGCGGGGGAGGAAGGGTCGGAAATCTAGTACGGACCCCGGCCCAGTCGGGGCGAGATTGTAGGGAACAGAAGACCCCCGATAGAGGCCCACGGGACCAAAAGCCACTCGCTTTCCGTGGAGAGCTGGGGAAGCCCCTACTGAATTCCGCAGCGCTCCTCCCTTTTTCGACTTTGTGCGAAGTCGCAAGAAGTCACGACTTTGGTGGGCGTTGTTCCACACACAAAAGGGCGCCGCCATGGCGCAGGCGTTGAAACCAGCTGACGCTGGCTAGTTGCGCGGGCGACTGGATGCCGCAAGCGATGACGGCCAAAGCCGCGGCTTTTGGCGTCGTAGCGGTGGACCCGTTTAGAAAATCTCGGTTGTTGGAAACTAGCCACATCCACTAAGGACGAGGCCGCCCGCTATAGAGTCGCGCGGAAAACTAACGCAGGGAAAACCCTGGCGCGCTGCAACTTCCTCGCGATTGGAATGGGGCCGCCATTAGCTTCCGCCAGTCCCTCCTCTTGCTGAGAACTCAGCCGGGGCCAGCGGGGGCCACGCACTAGATTCCGCGGCGCGTTCTTGTTGCGTGCGAAGCTGGTGCCTAAAAACCCTCGGCCGCCATGAGATGGCGCGCAGTCCTCGCAATTCCCTGAAGCGTGCGACCCTCTTCGAATCGGGAAGGTGACCCCCTTAAGGAGTCACCTTTTTTCGAAGCCTTGACTGCCCGCGATCGTGCGCCCGTCTGTTTGCGGGTCGCAAGGCTGATGGCGAAGACCTTGCCGCCGCCATCAGGTGCAGCGCAGTCCTCGCAATTCCCTGAAAAGTGCGACTTTCTTCCAGTTGGGAAGGGGGTCCCCTTAAAGTGCGCCCTTTCTTCGAGTCCTTGGCTGCCCGCGATCGTGCGCTCGTTTGTCTGCGGGTTGCGAGGCTGATGGCTAAGACCTTTCGTTGCTACCGCCACTAGAGAGGGCGCAGCCCTCGCAGTTCCCTGAAGAGTGCGACCCCCTTCGAGTTGGGAAGGTGATCCCCTTAAGCTGTCCCCCTTTTTCGGGTCGTTGGCTGCCCGCGACCGTGCGCCCGTTTGTTTGCGGGTCGCGAAGCCGATGGCCAAAGCTCTGCCCCCGACATCAGGCGGCGCGCAGTCCTCGCAATTCCCTGAAAAGTGCGACTTTCTTCGGGTTGGGAAGGTGGTCCCCTTTAAAAGTCCCTTTCACTTCGAGGCCTCGGCTGCCCGCGATCGTGCGCCCGTTTGTTTGCGGGTCGCGAGGGTGATGGCTAACCCCTTGCCTCCGCCATTGGATGGCGCGCGGCCCTCGCAATTCCCTGCAAAGTGCGACCCTCTTCGGGTTGGGAGGGTGATCCCGTTAGGGTGTCGCCTCTCTTCGAAGCCGTGGCTGCCGCGATGAGTCGAGAACAGACGCGCAGCGCAGAGTTGCCGAGCAGCCGGCCGGCGATAAGTCGACAACAGACGCGCAGCGCCGGGCTGCCTAGGAGCCGGCACGCGATAAGTCGACAACAGACGCGCAACGCGGAGCTGCCTCGCGATAAGCCGACAACAGACGCGCAGCGCAGAGCTGCCCGGCGGCAGGTCTGCGATAAGTCGACAACAGACGCGCGGCGCAGAGCTGCCTAGCAGCCGGTCTCGTCTGCGATAAGTCGACAACAGACGCGCGGCGCGGAGCTGCCTCCCAGCCGGCCCGCGATAAGTCGACAGCAGACGCGCGGCGCCGAGCTGCCTAGCCGCCGGCCCGCGATGAGTCGACAACAGACGCGCGGCGCCGAGCTGCCTAGCGCCCGGCCTGCGATAAGTCGACAACAGACGCGCGGCGCGGAGCTGCCTCGCAGCCGGTCCGCGACTTATCGCGGGCCGGCTGTCGTCGGCTTATCGCGGGCCGGCTGCCAAGCAATTCATAGGGCAGAAAAAAAGAGCAGCGAAACGACCCCCAAGCAGAATAGGCGAAGGGACCCACTTGGGAGCTTTTTCCTGGCCAGAATCCAGAGAAGGGCGCTGGGGCTTTGGGCTCCTTTCAGTGAGTGGGGACAAAAAGGGAAGCGCCCCGCTTAGTTTTTTCGGCTCTGAATCTAACGTGGGGCGCTAGGGCCGTGAGCTTATTTCAGTGGGGACAAGAAAGGGGGCCCGCCTTCTCAGTTTTTTGGCTTAAAATCTAAGGGAGAGCGCTAGGCCCGTGGGCTCCTTTCGGGGGGATATAAAAGAGGCGCACTCCCCTCCGCTTTTTCGGCTCGGAATCTCAAGGGGGGGGGCGCTAAGGCTGTTGGCTTTTTTCAGTGGGGACACAAAAAGAGGGAATTTCTATGGGCTCACTTGTGTGAAGTTTTCTTCTTGAAAATGGAGGGGGGGGGCGCTCTTCCTGCTGCTGATTCATGCCAGGGGGCGCGCTCTTTTGAATTATCCAGCCACCTGCTCCACCCCTGGAGAGTGCAGGCGGCTGATCGCTTTCCCCCCAGGGGTGCATTCCCAGGAGAGTCATGAAGGAATCCAAAGCAAAAAAGCCTGCGGCCGTCCTCCCTCACATTTGCCCCCCCTCAGAGAGCCCCCCCGGCCCTAGTTGTTGCCTGTCGCAGTCTTTCGCGCCGGTGTGCCTCTCTGCCTGCTTTGTCTGTCCATCGAGTTTTTGAATTCGCAAACCCCCGCCAGGCGTTTAAGAATTGGAAGCGGATAAGCCCTGCGGCCTACCAATGTCAGACCAGGAGCAAGCTGAGCCGAAAACGAAGCACCCACAAAGCCTCTTGGCGTTGAGAGGACTCCCGGGCCAACTGCTCTAACATCAGAACCGCGACGCCGCACAGCGTCCGCCCTGTGTCTAGATTCCTTCACTGTCTAGACCTGTCTGTGAATGATTCTAGGCAAAGGATGAAGACTAAGGGCGAGCCATCTCTATTCTAATAGAAATGCCTTGGCTATGTGGTGAAGAATGTGGCCCCGCGCTGTTCGGCGGGGGCCTCTGCTCTTGCGAGCCCGCCGGAGGCTTTGCGAGGCGGCTCCGGCGGGCTCTGCCCCAGCCTCCCAGGCTTTCCGAGAAGCTTGGAGAAGGCTCGCGCATGAGCCTCGACCGGGCTGCCGCAAGCGCCTAGGCCTCGCGGCGGGTCGAGGGGGGCCCGCGGTCCCGAAGCAGTCCGGCGCCCGCTGTGGCTTTCTCTATGTTCTCTAGCCGTCTCGAAGTGTCTCCAAAACAACTGGCGGACATTTCTCAGGTTGATCAAATTCGCACAACTTCGACCCCCTACCGACAAGACCGCCACCGGCTTCATTTCCTTGGGGGGGTGGATCCTCTTCCCCTGGTGAACGAAACCAGAGGCGACCTCGGCCGCGTGTGGATTCTAGTCGCGAGAA